TATATATATATATATATATATATATATGTATATACACACACTATAGGAACACTCACCTTTTCTTTGCGATAATGAAAAACTTTTTTACACAGATTACAAAAAGAAACATCATCATCATGCTGCCATCTGACTTCATTATCAGACTGTCTAATTTTCTCTAATTCCATCTACAAGAACATAAAGTTTAAATTATAAATTACATACCTTTAATTTCATTTACAAACTATAAAATTTTCAGTTCAAATTCCTTTACAGCCCCTATCTCTGAAATTATTGATATATATATATATATAACAGGAAAAAAAACTCCTTTTCTTCATAAAATAAATAAGACTTTTTTTAGGACAAGTCTTTATCATACCCAAAGTTTCTGGAAAAGTTTTACAAATCTGTTTGGAAAGATTGAAACATTAATATCCTTTAGCAATAGCATCAGTATTCTTAACAATACAGAAAATTTTACAAAATCACATTCATTATTCTTTAGCAAAAAACAAAGTTTTAAAATATATCTTTGAAGATCTTAAAACAACTGATAACCTGCACTGGTTGAGAAACAAAATTCTTATATTTATTCCTTAGTAACAGAAAAAGATTTAAAAAATTCTCATCATTTTGTTTTATTGAGATTTTTAAAAAACACCTTCATTCTTTAGTGAATGAGAACGTTTTTACAAATATTTCTGGAAACTTGAAACATTAAACCTGTATACACACACATATTATGTACTTTATACTACAAATACTTGATTAGCACTTCGGATAAACACCAAAAGATACTTTAACTAGAAAACAGAAAATGAAACAACACAACATATTTTATTATTTCCGTGAGTGATGTTTTATCTTCAGATTCCAGAGAAGGAAACTGTACCAGCAGAACTTTTCCCTGGGAGATCCCCTTACCATGTACAGAAATCCACATTAAGGGGTGCAAGGACCAAGAAAATTTGAAACTTTACTAGCCTGTATACCTTCTGAATGTAAAAAGAAGACATCTTGCCTAGTGATGCTTCTGGTAAATATTGGAGAATTTGAAACTAAGATACAGGAATAGAAGGTGGTGACTGTATGAGTCTGTAGAGTCAGCAGTTTATGTTCACTTGATTGGTGCTCAATGATTCCACCAATCAAATAACCCAACAAGGATACATGCTACACAGGTGAAAGCTCAACATACTTATGATAATGCAGCAATGCCAGGGTTTTGTGGGAACTGTAACCTAGAACTAGTAACAGGCATAATGTTCTTAACGACCAGTGAGGACATCGAATACTGGCCAAAATTTACCAGCCAATAAACACTGAGGGAGTCACTCCAAGGCCTCCCATCTACAAAAATTCAAAGCCAAAGTGGTATGTTGCCTAGCAACCACTCCAACTACCAGGATTCTCTCCTCTCCTTCACAGATTACCATGTACTACAAACGTGGGTGATGTTTTATGTTCAGGTTCCAGGAAATGTAACTGTACCAGAAGAACTTTTCTTTGGGATATCTCCCTTCCATGTACAGAAATCCACATTAAGGTGTGAAGAGAACATGAAAACTTGAAAATTTAATAACCTGTAAAGACTAAAACTCTACTAAATGGAAGTGAACTGAGAGAACCTGAAGTTTTATTAACCTGTAGTGACTAAGAAATTTGAGATTTTACAAACCTGAATTGACTGAGAAAATCTGTAGCTATTTAAAATCAATATTGACCAATGATTCTGTTTTTAAAGAAAAGAAGAAGTTCAAGCAACAATATTAGCTTTTGGTTTCTTATATGAAAAATAAAAAGGTAATATTTAAATTTTTTAAGGTCAAGAGTAATTTGTTCTGCTTAATACAACAGTAGTCCATTATGAATTGTTTCAATGTTCCAATATTGTTAACTTTTAATTTTTTGTAAGTAACAAAAATAATTTCAATTTTAAAATTATCCTTAGAATTCCCATCCAACTTTCAATATCTAACAACAGTAACATTTTTTGGAGCTTCTTTTAAATAGCAAAAATTTGACTACAACCAATGAATTGCCAATAATCATAAAGCTACACAATGGGCTTTCTTTGCTCTGCCCACTGCAGATATCAAAACCCTAATCCAATATTAGAAGAAAAACTTTCCATCTCCAGGTGTGGAAATTACATGACTTTGATAGTGAGTTACAAAAACTGTAGAATATTCCCAATCATGCACAGAAACAATACAACATTGTCTAATGTGTTTGGTTATCAAACAATTTGCTCCTTGTAAATCAAATCTGCATCAAAAGGTTTAACTGCTGAATGGATGTATAACACACTTAAGCTGGCAAAGCAAGCATGTTGTGTTGATACTTCTTACTGGAAATCTTTATAAGGCTAGTAATGAAAGATGTGACCAAAATTATTATTACTCTAATTGTGATGCAATAGCACACAAATTACTGATTCAAGAAAGTTATGGTCTGGCATTTATATATATATAATAAGATTCAGGGTGTGTATGTGTCACATAACTCCTCCTAAACCACTAGTCACACCTACTTCTAAGAGGTACTGAACAAATTATCTCAGCCCCGAGGTTTGCACAAAGGTAAAATGTTTCATCCAACCCCTCAGGGAATCCAGGTATTTTGCAAAAACACTTTTACAGAGATTCCCCGAAAGTGGACATCAAAATTGGCATTGATTTACATAAGATCAAGCAAATAAGTAGGCCTACTAATTAACATTCATAACTTCATTAAAGAAATTACATTTTAAAGCAGCAATGATCATCAAACTGAAAAAAAGTGTGACATAGTAGTTCAAACATTAAATTTGCATTATAGTGGCCCTGTAAATGTGGGCCATTTGCCCTAGGGTTCACTAGTATATGTATCTTCTTTAATCACTAAGTTGTGTGATATTTTATTTCTTTCTCACTGGTGAGGGGGATCAAATAATTGGGTTTTGACACCTGTGATAAGCATAGCACAAATAGCTCATTGTGTAGCTTTGTACTTAACAGCAACAACAATTCATTGGTTGTAGTAGTCAAATGTTTATGTGTACATGAAAAAATATTAGTCCCAAACTATTAACACAGCTTTAGGTTGTAAGAAATTGTGGCAATAAACCTATTAAAATAAATTAGTTTAATGAATTATGTCTTGTTGAATCCACCTAACTATATCTGTGCTATAATATCTGGCCATTGTCAAGACATTGGAAGAAAGTATGTAAGTGTTCATACGAAAATACTTCTGCAAGAAGATGAAGCACAGATAATAAGCTCAATCTTACCTCTTCAATCATAGATTTTTTTTTTAACTTTAGCATAATGCTATACAATGAGCTGCCCTTCTCTTCAGCTGAGCTTTGAGCTCATGTCTATGTGTGTCAGTCATGCTGGCTAACCATTGAGATAGCACATTTTAAAAGCACATTAATGTAGGGTCTCTGGGCCACACACTCCCCTTTATCCAGCCCTGCCTACAGTGACTAAAACAACTTTGAAACTTTACTAAACTGAAGTGATAAAGCAAACCTAAAGTTTTGCTATATTGTAGTGGCTGAGAAAGTTTGTAAATTTACTAACCTGTAATGACTGAGAAAGCTTTACAAAATCCCTTTGAACTGCCTCACTATTGTCCAGATCTGTCTGAAGGCTCTGTATTTTGGACTTCAAGTGACGAACTTCTTCTTCCAGTTGTGTCTAACGTGTTAAACAATAGAATATGCTTACTGAATTAATAACAAACTGCCTATTCAAAAATACAGTATGAAAAGATTTTTCCTAACTGCAGAATACTACATGATTCACATTTAACACCCTACATGCTTATGATTAATAGATATAATTAATCTGATAAGTGCATAGCTAACCATATTTTTGACAATACCACCTATATTATCTTCATTTAATCAATGCTTTTGATATCCCATAACTTTCCACATAAAGATTTCATAACTTAATAATCAAGCATACAAGTGTCCAATGGGTAAATCCAAGAAAAACCAGTGTGTGGGTTTTTTAGGCTGATAAACCTATCCCTACCTTTCCTCCCACCCCATAAACGTTTCTGAAATATGCATCAAATTGATTGTGAAACTGAAAATACAACTTAAAAAAAAACCACCTAAAATATGTTTTTGTAAGAAAAGTAGTTATAGAAATGTCTTACTTTGATTTCTTAATTTTTATTGTGAATAACATCAAACATTCAGACATTATACAAAAATGAAAATGCTAATAAAAAACTACTGTTATAGTTTAATTGCTTTTTCTACACTAGAATAACTCGTTCTGATTAATACAGCAGTAACCAACTACAAACTGTTTCAATTTGTTGTTGTTAACTAATTTCTGTAAATAATAACAGTAATTGCAATTTTAAAATTATTATTAGAATTCCTATACAACCTTTAACATCCAACAAGAGTAGCATTTATTAAACATTTTTTCAAAAACAAACATATTTAAACATCAGTTATAAGTGAATTTAGTGGACTGTTGTAACAAATAAAAAGCAAATATGAAATTTGTTTAAATATGTTTTGTTACGCCTTTGGAAGCTGTCAGTAGACAGTTTTGTTTCAGACACAGGTAACAATGTTAAGTAAGTCAACCTTTAGATTAGATGTTACATTCAGTAAAATTAGTTAAGGCAGGAAGTTTTCCACATGATTAGACAGTTCAGTTTCAGTACAAGATAGCAGTAAAAATCTAATTATTAAAACTAAAAGCATAGTTTTAAAACATAATTCTGCTAAAACTTACCCATCTAATGTTCATTTTTATACTTCTTTTAAGCTCACATATTTGGATTCACTTAAATAAATACAAATGTATTGTAGGCCAAACTACCAAAATGGAAGATATTTTAAAGTAACCCAGTAACAAGATTTTTCTTTGATCTAATTTTATACGAATAACAAAACGAAATAGTTGTAAAATCAAAATAAGTTCAAAATATTTTTCATCTCTAATATCAATTTCAATAACCTATCACCACAGTATTTTCCTATCAGTGCAATGCTAATTCTGCTACTATTCTTGTTGTTGCTGTACAGATATTCAAATATGTCTAATCTAATAAAGCAGTTAACATGCAATGGTAGCTTACCCTCCCTTTCCAATGTCTGAACTCATTGGTTTTACACTAATCTCATGGGTGACTGAGATGAAGATGATATCAGGAAAATTTTCACATTCCTGCAATAATGATCTGTTCATGCAAATAAGTTACAAATCAAACACCTTTGAAAAAATAGAGCCATGAAATTACAGTTAATCCTATCTTAAACTTCTCTATCCAATAATCCTGCTTACTTTAAGTACTGAAACTTCAGCCAAACTCATCCGAGTCTCTGTTACTTTTTTCTCTTGTTCTTCATGAGACTCTAGAAACTTAGATTCAAGTTCTTTTAGTTTCTGTTCAAATTCTCTTCTTTTTGTTTTTTCCAGTTCTAGTTCTGAATTTATTCTCTGCAAATCAGCTGAATAATAAAATATAATAATCAGAAAAATAAATGAAGCATAGTAAAAAATTAAAAATTCTCAGATTACAACCATCAAGTTAATCCTACATATATGAGTATGTCACAGTTCACATTTCACAACCTTCTTACATTGAAAACTTTATTATCAACATCTATCAATAAAATTGGCAACAAATGTAGTTTATAATTCAAATTTTGATTTTATATAAGATTTAATTTCTTAATTTTAATAGGAATTATTAAAATAAATTCTCATTCTTCATTTTTACGTATCAAGCGACACTTCTTTGCTCCAAATTGCCACTTTTAGAATTTTTTTCCACATCTCTATATTATTTTCTAAGTATATAAGGGCTTACACACTTATACATTAGATATCCCCAAACTAAAACGAAAATGTATATCTTCTATTTTTTTTTCCTTTGATGAGTTATATGATATAAACTGAAATTCAATTGCCATGCCCATCATAGTACATGCTGTCTTTAAAAATGTCAATAATTCTCTCTGTGACACTTCCTATAGAATTATTTATAAACAAAAAAATTAATTTACTACTTTTCTTGTGTTGTTAGCCTTGTTCTCACAACCAATTTTGAGTTATACTGCATCAGTTTTATAGTTAGCTATCACTGAAGTTGCCTTGACAAGATAAAGAAATGATTTTAACACACATATAGCTTAGTCAGGATGTGTTTTTTGCATCTTAATATTTCTAAGTTGCATATTCAAAATAAATACAAATTACATAAAGTACTAATAACATCCTTACAAAAAACTAGGGTTAACTTTAATTGAGACTTTCAGAGCAAAAAAAGTATAAGACCCACACATAAGTACTACATTTATTGATTTGTAGGTACACTTTATATTTATTGTTATAAAAGTAACTAAAATGTAAAAATTAGATACTTATTAGGATAGATCTTGCTAGTGCAGCATGTTTTAATTTAACAGAGTGTCCTGGTAACTTAATGATGTGTTTATGCAAAGCCTCACCACTGTAATGATTTGCTTTGGCACTAATCTAAGTGGTAGTAAAGCAATAAATCTAAATGACCAGGAGAATTGAATAGTATTAGCTATGGTTATAAGAATAAGTAGTGTGTAATTGTCTTTAATGATAAGAAGTCATTTTAGAAAGGAAAAAAAATGGGTAATTTAGCTGTTTGTATTTTTTTGTGGTGGTTACAAGATTAGTCAAATGGATCAAGCCTAAATACAGTGTTAGCACAGTGAAAATAGCAAAAATATTTGATAACAAATATTTGATATTAAAAAACTTTTGATATTCATTTAGGAGGTTCTAGAGATTATATAAATGAAATTTGAAAACTGAAAGTTAGAAATAGTATTTTATAATTGTAACATGTGTAACGAATTTGTTGTCATATATTTATTTTAATGTCAACGTTTGTTGGATTGAGCTTATATTTTAAAACATGCATAACTTATAGTGTTAAATATGTATTGCGAAACTCCCGCCTATCCTCCAGAGTTGCAGAAGATTCTCGAGAGTAAGAATCAACAATATATGTATATACTTAAATGTCTAAATGTAGCTCAGTATTGTTACGTAACAGTGAATTTTCTAGAAAGTCTCAGTCACTCTCAGACTCCATAAATTCATAGATAAATTTTTAGTAAAAACACTTAATTAAAAAAAATCTGATTTTTTTGTACACAGAAAACTCATAACGTTTATAAAAAGCTTGTCAAAGTTTGTGAAGATACACTTACTACATTAAAAGTTATAGTATGTATAGTTTCATGGTAGTTGCAAGAATGTTAAAATGACTAATTCCATATACAGTGAGTTAAGTAGTGACACCAGTGTACCTAACCTCGTGCCTGTAAGTGATTATGATGTATCTTATAGCCCTTGAGTTAGAAGTCATGAGGCTAACATGGTAAAAACTAAAAGTTCTCAACATGCAAACATCAAGTTATACAGTGAGAGTAACATAGTTAATCTGATGTCTGTAAATTATTATTGTGTATTTTATAACCCTTGAAAGTAAAACAGCTGTCCAGTTGTGAATAGAGAGATTGTAATGTATTTTATAACCCTGAGTTGGAAGTGGAAGCAACACAGCTCCCAAAGGAAAACAAAGAGATTGATGAATTTTAGCCAAAGAGTAAAAAACAACAACAACTTTATATCACCAAAAGTACATCACCTTCAGGTTAAGAATAATCTGCTAATTCTCAAACCCATTAAAGTTTTGACTGTGTTACGCTATCCATTTTTGCTTGGGAGAAACAAAATTACAAAGCCTCTGGAATATACTTTTTGTTGAAGTAATGATAATAAAGTTAATTCTAATAAAATAATAATAATAAATAAAATGTGTTAAAATAAATAATGTTGCGTTAGTAATCCAAGCCTAAAAATCTGATTTGTAAATGACTTAAATAAAATTGATAATAATTACAATACACTTGCTTAATATGATTCATGCTCTAACAGATGTTGTTCATGAAAACTGATGATATGTACAGTGTCTAGTCCATAATTATGCCTGTTACAACCCAGCCAGTCTGAAGAACCCTGGTGTTGGGTGAAAGGCCTCATCAGCACTGGGTATGGCAGATGTAGTGTGGTTGGCATAACATATTCTTCTTTGCTTTCACATTAAATATGTGAAAGTCATCAAGCACTGTCTAACAAATATATCAGACTTACTTAATTGTTCTCGCAGAGTGTCATTTTCTTGAGTTAGTGTGTCTTCCATTGTCTCTTTAGCATTCTGTTCTGCCATGATCTCATCTCTGAGAAAGAGAATTTCACTCTTCAACCCTTCCTCTATTTTTTCTTTTGCTATGAGAGCTGTTATAAGGTCTTCCTGCAACTTCAAATACAGGAACTGCATCTCCTGCAAATAAGTCACAGAAATGATAAATAAATAAATAACCAAAAAAAAAAATATAATCAATTTCTTTGTGTACCAACATGTAGAGGAACTGTATATTCTCATGGCTTTATGATGCCACTTAATGGCAAATAATGTCTTCAAATTAACATTTTTCCAAACAGATTGGAGATAAATAACCAATGACAAGTTATGACTGTTACTCCAATGCATATTAAAAACATTGAAATATTTATTGGACAAATGGACTTGAACTACGTCTTGTCATAATCCTATGACCAGTCTAATAGAGTACCAACTAAAATACAGTTCAAATGAAATGAGAAGGAGTGCCTAATGATATTTTCCCTTCAAATTACTGAAATTAATAAACAGTTTTGAAAACTAACTACAGTCTCATCACAATAAAAAGTCAGGTTAAAACAACTACTTATCATGAATTACTTAAGGATTTCCTTACATTCCAATGTAAAAGAAAATATTATGAAGGAAGCAGAGCTGAAATGTGGCTTTTATTCTTAAAAAGTTTCAAATAATAAGCTGTCTAAAGAAACCTTCACTTTTTGAAACCAGTCTGACAAAAAAGGTTGAATTGTCGCTGCACTGAAGAAATCTGTTCATACCCAGATGACTCAGTATGAGCAACGAAGTGTCTTCTGCTTGGCTGCAGCAGTGGATCCCAGATTTAAACTTGACTAGTGTTTCAATAGACCTATGGTCTATGAATTCAATGGAATGCGCCTGCAGCAAGAAGTCAAGAAAATTTCCTTAACACATAATCTTACAACCATGGAACCAAAAGAGGACTTTAAGTCCTCCACCCACTCACTAAAGAAGTAAGCTCTTCAGTTTCTTTGCTGCTTCCAAGAAACCATCCACCTCATCTTCAGAGGATACAGAGGTCAACACCTACCTTGATGGTCCTTGCATTCCTGTAGAAAGCAACCGTCTAGATAGATCGAGGAAAAAAAACATACCTAACCCATCTCTACTAGCCAAATGCTACCTGAGTGTTCCAGCATCCTCTGCCCCTGTTGAGTACTTGTTTAGCATCAAAGGCAAAACCCTCAGACCTGATTGCTGCCACCTCACTGACAAGATACTTGAGAGACTGATGTTCAGAAACAACAATAGGCAGTTATAATATCTATAAGTCTCCTTTAAAAATATATTTTCAGTTCTAAAACTTTGTTATTGCTTTTTTGAAAAATTAAAATATTATTATTTGTTCACATTTTGTTTGTTTCAGTATCAATAAAATAAAAGTATAGAAATCTTATCATCTGCTGTTTTATAATTATTGCATATTACGTGATAAAGTATTCATGAATACATTCCTATGTATTCGTATTCAATTACTTAGTATTTTTCCCGTATTCATTTTTGTATTTATAAAAATATGAAGCATTCGTATTTGTATTCGATTACTGATCTTCAGTATTTGCCCCACCCCTGCCTGTCAACACAAACACTGTTAGAATTATAACTACAGATTTAAATTGTTTTCTATTGTTTTAAAATCCAACTTCAACAACAACAGTAAAATTAAATCTAGGCTCTACAAAATTCATTAGCACTGTTTTATCTAGTTTGCTTTAATTAGCCAATCTTCATTTTAAGCTGAAAACCATATAATAAACTGAAAAAAAACAAAACAAATTAGACTGTAAACACACATCACATGACAAAAAAACCTTATAAAGTGTAAAAGAAAATAACTTACACACCTCAACAGTGTTAGGAAGGTTTATTTCTTCATTCTGTAGCTGCTGAGCACGAGCAATATGTTTTCCAAGTAGTGAACTGTTCTCTTCATATAATTTGGATAGCTAAAAAACACAAACTAACAGTTCAATAGTTTAAATCACACAAAAATTCTGATGTTAACCCCAAGTATAAAACTAACTTTTCAACAATATGAATGTATTTTTGATTGATCAACTCAGGCATGAAATAAGCTGTTATTCTAGTCTACTTTCAGTTTACACAAAACAAATATATATATTGGATTTTGGATTTATGGCAAAGCTACTAAGGCTACCATCATTCCTAATTTTGAACTACTGACCAGAGGGAAGGCAGCCAGTCAGCAGCACCATACAATCCACCATCCAAATTAAGGGATTGACTGTCACTCTTATAATTCAACCTCAGCTTATTGTGCAGGGAATATTTTGTGTTATCGTATGGATTCAAACTTGGGTCATCTGCTCCAAAATCGAGATCTCTACCACCAAAAAATTGAGAGCTGGAAATACTTCAAAGTGAAAAGAACCAAAATTTACATTACTTAAAAATATGATAGCAATATTGGTTTCAGTATGGCTACAAATTCAGGGATAAAAACTACAAAATTCAACAAGAATGGCTATTTTGAAATTTTTATTTAAAAAATTTAAATTCAACTACGATCAATGCTAAAACAAATTATGCTGAGGTTGAAATGACCAATAAAAATGTCTATATATATATATATATATATATATATATATATAT